ACAAAGGCAAATTGCCATTATGCACGTGGGGATACTAACACAGGAATTACTATTAAAATACACTATGTGAGACACATAACATTAAAAGCATACATTTAACATATCCCCAGATAGCTCAGGTCTGAGCGCACATTATTAAGCGAATGGCGCTCAGACCACACGAATACAGTTTAATCGCCATGGAGCTAAAGTCTTTACACAGTCAGTTTCATGCGAATGGGCTCCATGGGATTCCTATCTGGGGTATAACACATTCCAGTAAAACTACCGAACGCCGGGCCATTGGTACACTTTCACCGACCAAGAAGGGAGGTCGGCGGCTTCAGCGGTGTTTTCGCGCAAAACTGTGTCCGATTTTAGTTCCATGAATTAAGCGTCGAACACCGCTGTGCATTCGCATGTTTAAAATGGCCGCGACCTCGTGTTCGTGATACGAATGGCGGCCACCCAGCATTCGTCAATTAAGCTGCTGTTAACCGCAGCTTCAGGGAGGCTAATTGCCGGCACACTCCAGCTCCCAGGTGGTCCAGTCATTCGTGCGGTTGTTCAGTAGATTGAATCTACCGAACACCAGGCAGAAAAGCACGAATAAAGCTTTTCTGCAGGCGAAACAAAGTCTTTTAACATGGGGGCCATAGTCCAAAGGTAGCAGGCGAGCAACCAGACTTCTCCAATGCAATGTGGCGAGATTGCTCTCGTCACAGCGGCCATATATGTCAAATTCTGCCTGTATCGCTCGTAGTGATTTTTCAGGGTCCGTAACCACGAACAGCATGTCATCCGCATATGCCAGAGTTTTGTGGTGTGTGTTTCCAACTGTCAGTCCTCAGAGGTCCGCGTTTTGTCTGATCCTGCTTAGGAAGGACTCCAGCGTCAGCGCAAAGAGTATGGGTGAAAGCGGGCAGCCCTGTCTAGTTCCGTTGTGGATCTTGAATGGGTCTGTTAGTGCCTCGTTGATCCGAATTCGAGCTGTTGGGTCCGTGTAGAGCGTCTGCACCCAGGCCATGTAGTGTGGGCCAATGCCCAGGAAGCGGAGTGTTTCAAACATCAGATCCCAATCCACCCTATCGAACGCCTTCTCTGCGTCGGTGGACAGGAGTAGGACTGGGGTCTTCTGCCCTCTCGCATGTGCTATGACGTTTAAGGCTCTGATAGTGTTGTCCCTCACCTCCCTTCCCGGGATGAAACCCGTTTGATCTGGATGGAGTGTGGCTGGTAGGAGAGGTGCCAGACGTGCCGCCAGTATGCTTGCCAGAGGTTTGAGGTCCGTGTTCAGTACAGACATCGGTTGATAACTTGGACACAGCGTCTTGTCTTTGTCCTCCTTTGGGAGAAGGGTGATGTTCGCCGAGGTGAATTGAGCTGTTGGTGTGGCTCCGTCTTGGATAGAGTTCAAGGCTTTCAGTAGTTTTGGTAACAGGTCTGTGGCAAAGGTTTTATAGTATTGCAGGGGCAAGCTGTCTGGGCCCAGTGCCCTGCCCGTTTTCCCTTTTTTGATGGCGTGTGCCAGTTCCTCGGGTGTTATGGGGGCCTCCAATGCTTCCTGGTCCACCTCCTCTATTCCTGGTATATTTGCCGTGTCCATGTATCTGCGAATGTCCTCCACTTTTTGAGACCTCTGAGTTTCCTGGTTTGTTTGGCGGAGTCAATATAAATCCTGGTAGTAGTCGTGGAACGCTGTCGAGATCTGGTCCGGTAGGTGCCTGAGTTGTTGGTGTGCGTCCTTGATCTTCAGAATGTATAGTTGGTTGCGGAGTTGCTTCAAGAGGTTCGCTAATAGTCTCCCACATTTGTCCCCGTGTTCGTGGATCATGTGTTTGTAGTGCTGGTATGAGCGTTGGATTGCGCGGTTCAGGTGTGTGGTGAGTTGGTTCCGTTTGGTCGTGAGTTCCTCGTATACCTATGCGTCCATGGTGCGTTTGTGTCTAGCCTCTAATACCCCGATTTCATACTAAGTTCTAGTATCGTCTTCATCGCCCTCTTCTTGCGGGTTGCACAAATCGCGATGAATCTGCCTCGGATGACCGTTTTGTGCGCTTCCCAGCTTGTCAGTGGGGTGACTTCGTCAGTTGTCTGTAAAGTAATCCTGTATATGGTGGCTGATCTGGCCTACGACCGTGATGTCTCAGAGGATCGATTCGTTCAGTCGCCATGACATTTGTCTGGGTTTGTATAGTGGCGACTTCATCCGTATGCGAATTGGGCAGTGTTCTGACCATGTCATTGGCAGGATTTCTGCCGTATTAAGCAGGGCTAGGTTTCGATGAGGTACTAGGAAATAATCGAGTCTTGTATATGTCGAATGAGTCGTGGAGTAGAATGTGTAGTCTCGGGTGGATGGGTGCAGTGCTCGCCAGCAGTCTGCCAGCTGGTGGAGGTGAAGGAGGCGGAGTGTGTTGGCATGCCTGTTGAGCGGGGTGTGTCCGCGTGCCGAGGTGGAGTCCTGGTCTGGGTGTATCGCCAGGTTGAGGTCTCCCCCTATGATCAAGGTGCCTTCCGTGAATTTCATCAACGTGGTTAGTGTACTTTGGAGGAAGTAGTGTTGTTTCGTGTTCGGGGCGTATATGTTAGCGAATGTGTAGGTTTGGTCCAGTATTTTGCCTTTTGTAAAAATATATCTGCCGTGCTTGCATCATACGGTGGTTTGCTACTCGTAAGGGACTCGCCTTGAAAAGAGGATGCAGACTCCCAGTGAGCGTCTATCCTGGTTGTGGCTGAAGTATCCCGTTGGAAAGTTGCGGCCTTTCAGAGCTGGTGCCCTGCCCTCCTGGAAGTGTGTTTCTTGGATGAACGCTATTGACGCTTTGTAGTGTTTCAAGTCTCGCAGCAATCTTGTACATTTCTCCCTGTCATTTAGGCCTCGTACACTGTAGGAGACTACGCATAGGTCCTCTCTTGCGAAGCCGTTGGGTTCTTGTGCCGGAGCGGGGCGGGCAAGGCTAGGGTGCGGGTGTGTGTGTGTGTGTCCGGTTCGGTGCGGTCTTTTTATTGTCTAGGCTCCGGCTAAGGCTTAATAGGTACTTGCTGTTAGTTGTTTTGAGGGTGGGAAGGGTAATGGACAAGTGTCCCGGTTGTTCGACCTATAGGTCCCACCCAGTGGTGTGCCTGTGTCGGTGCCGGGAGGAATATGCCCCCTTTGGAACGGGGTCTTTCGTGTCCTGTGCCTGCTGGGGTGTCAGGCTCTATGTCCTGGTATGCACGGTCCGCCGCGTGGCGTCCCTCCGTGCCGTGAGGAATATGCTACCGGGTTCGGTATGTACGGTGTGGTCACATGTCTCCTTAGTGGCTGTGATATTGGAGCATCTGCTCCTTCTCTTCGATATTGTGCTTGTATGGGTCGTCTTTTATGTATCATGTGTGCTACGGTCTACCGCAGTGGTGACCCTCAACTTTTGCATGTTTTGTCTCAGAAGTGATCTTGTTCCGTGTGTTCCTATCTAGGCGCGTGTTTGTTGCAGCTCCGGGTCTTGTGGGGCCGGGGCATCTCTACTATCAGGTCTTGTAAATGGTGTCGTTCTAGTGGGGTAACTTATCTGGTGGCGCTGCCGTCCTGCCTGTGTCTCACTGATTATATGGGCGTGTTGTGGGTGTGGGTCTAACGTGCCTGGGGTACACTCCCTGTATTCTCCTACTCTCCATATCTCCAGTGCAACTAGTTTTTCTATGTCCTTTTTCTATGGCTTCTGTTTGGTGTCTATGCCGCCTGCTGTGTCGGGGGCTGCCTTGCGGCTACGTGTGTGTGGTGTGGGTCTTATGTAGTGTGTTGCCTGTGTGACAGTGTGGTGGGTGGGGTCCCCTTGGGTCAATGTCGTGTTGGGTTCCAGTTGGTCCTTCTTGGGAGCTTTTCTCTTGGACCCCCTTGCCGATGATTCCCTTGGCGTCTATGCTTAGTGTGTACCTGTGGTTGGCTTGTGCAGTGGTTCCATAAGATACTGTGCCTGTGTATTTTGCCTTTGAATAATTGTCGCGGGCCTCCTTCTGTCTTCCCCTAGCTCCCAGTATCCTCCCGCTGGTCTGACGTACCTGTCTCTTTCTCGTTCGTTCCCACCCCCCTCCGTTTCATTGCATGAATTCTGTGCCCCCCTCTTTCCCTTCCTCCCCCAGCGTACGTATATGAGTTGTGGTACAGTGTTTGTGGGTTTCCCCTCCCCTTACCTCCTTCTCCCCCTCCTCCTCCACCCCTTCCTTTCATTTGACAATTCCCCTTCTGGCCCTCCCTTCCCCCTATTCGTCTTGTTGTGTCTTTGTTGGTGTCCTCCAGCCAGTATTGTGTTTCGTCAGCGTGTAACTCTTGCCGTTAGCAGTCCCTTCGTTTTTTTTCTTTCTTTCCTGTTCCACCATGCCACCATCCCCCTCCCCAGCATATGCCAGTGTGGCTGGCATACTTTCTTATGTCACCCCAAATAGTACTTACAGTTTGCCCATTGCGTCCTGCTGCGTGTTGGTCCCCGGACTATCAACCCCTTCTCTCTGTGTGGTGCTCTGTTAGTTCTCCTGCTCCCGTCGTGCCGGGCCCGGGTTCCAGTCTCTGTGTCGCTGTTGCTGGAGGTTTGGGGGACCCTGGTCTGGCCTGCGCGGTTGTTGCGGTCCAGGCGGTGGTTGGAGAAAAGATCTCGCAGCCAGTCTGGTACTTGAATCGGTGGGATGCCCATGGCTTGAAGGAATCCTGGGAGGTCGCTTGGTCTCCTCACCACTAGTTGATCTGGGCCGTGCCTAGCTGAGAGTGAGAATGGGTAGCCCCTGCCTGTTGCAGGGCGGATGTTACTGGGCGTAGGGCCCTTCTGGCTTGTATCTGGATAGGTCTTGATAAATCGATATGGTTTGATTCTCGAAGCGTATGGTCCCCATGCGGCGGGCCGTGCGCAGGATGTCTTCTTTCAGTTGGTAATTTTCTAGGCAGCATATGATATCTCTTGTTGTTCTTCTGTGGCCGGCATTGGTCGCAGTGCCCTGTGTGGCCTTACTAGGCCTAGTCTGGGTATTTGCTGGCTCCCCAGTACCTGGGTGAACAGTCGCTTTAGGGTGTCGGGTATGTGTTCCGCTGGGTTACCTTCTCTCACCCCGCGGACGCGCAGGTTCAGTCTGCGGCGGCGGTTGTCCAGGTCGCCCACCCACGTGGTGAGGCTGGCAAGATCTGCTTCTTGGTTGGCCACTGTGGAGTTTGTGTGCTCCAGTTCTGTGCGGAGTGCCCTGGTCTCAGACTCTGCTACCGACATGCGGGCCTCCACATTAGCCAGGTCTGCACGTAGCTGGGCCACCTCCTCCCTCACTACTCTGCCCAGACGATCTGACAAGGCCTCAAAGTCTGCCTTAGTTAGTAAATTCGGCAATATGGCCCTCCACTCACCCTCCTGCGGTAGTTGTGGCTCAGACATGATTGAGGGTGCTGGTGATAGCCTGGCCAGTTTGGAGGGGAAGGAGTCCATGTTTTGGCTTGCGGCCTCTGTCACCCGCTGCGGTGAGCACGTGGGCCGCGGCATGAAGGTTGGAGCAGATGGATTGCTCCCCTTCTCGGCCTGACGACCTCGGGGTGCCGCTGGGGTCCATGGGCTTCCTTGTGCGACCCATTGTCGGTGCGTGGGCGAGCGGTATGCGTGGGTTATTGACGTTCTCTTGCAGGCGCCACAAGGAGCTCCTGTATTAGGCGTCCATCTTCCTCAGCTGCTGGACACGCCCCCCGTCAATGGGTTTGTTAGCTCCCACGTGGATGCACTGAGCAGGCTAGATATTGAGCCATGGGAAGCAGAAAAGAACTGTCAAAAGACCTGCGTAGCAAGGTAATGGAACTTTATAAAGATGGAAAGGGATATAAAAAGATATCCAAAGCCTACAGCTTTGGATTACAGCAAACAGTGGTTACAGCAGAAAAAGGTGAAGGTCCTGGAGTAGCCATCACGGTCTCCTGACCTTAATATAATCGAGCCACTCTGGGGAGATCTCAAACGTGCGGTTTATGCAAGATCAAAGACTTTGCATGTTCTGGAGGCATTTTGCCAAGACAAATGGGCAACTATACCACCTGCAAGAATTTGGGCCCTCATAGACAACTATTACAAAAGACTGCACGCTGTCATTGGTGCTACATGGGGAATAGTATTAAGAACTAAGGGTATGCAGACTTTTGAACGTGGTTATTTTAAGTTTTTTTCTTTGTTGACATATTTTGTTTTATGATTGTGCCATTCTGTTAAAACCTACAATTATATATGAATCCCATCAGAAAAGAAAGAAATATGCTTTGTCTGCTCACTCAAGTTTTCTTTAAAAATGGTTAAAAACATAAACTTTTGAGCACATCTGTACAATAATTAAAGAAAAGAGTAAGCCAAGTTACATGCATAAGGCAGTGTCACAATTTCCTGCCGAAGTCGAACATATCAAATAAATTAGGCATATATATAGTAAACTTATGTGTAGCAATAACTAAAATATCAATAACCGCAAGTTTAAAGTAAAAATAAAAGGTAAAATGAAAGTTAATAAATATACCAATTATGAAATGTGTTATTTAATGCTATATTAATGCTATATTAAGTATGGGCATAATCAAAAAAATAGAACTATATTAAAATGTAAGTGGTTCACCATATGTCTGTTGTCAGATATTTGTAAAATATGGTGAGAAAAAATGCAGAGCTTCACCGAGTTTGAGTGTGAGATGAGGCCTGAAGAACAGAGATGGAGATTGATGTATGAAGGTATTTGTATGAAGGTATTTACAGCTAGGAGGGGCATAGTGTGAAGAGTTTGACTGTATTCCCTGGCTTCATTCAACTATTTCCTCTCCCTGCTACCTAAATGACTTGGCAGCATTCGTTTTTCTGTGTGTGTTCAGTAGATTATTCGTTCTACTGAACAGAGACCACCCTGGGTAGCAATTAGAACGTAGAACACCATGTTGCAACACAAAACCACAAGGTAATTTAGTGCTCCTAGGTGGCCGCCATTCGACATATGAACACGTGGCGAGAACAAAGGATGGCGGCCATCTTAAACTCCCGAACGAGGCCAGCTGGACTTGGTCATTGAGTGCCTGGAACTGTTTTCAGCATGGCACTCGCACGAACAACCGGTCTTATGGAAGACCCGTCTGACCTATTTCTCCTTGCAGTACAAGACCGGCGTTCGGGGGTTTCAATCAACCGAACAAGGGGAGCATTCTGATGTAACCAGCTGCATTCTACCTATAGTGGTTTTCGTGTAATTCTGCATGAACGGACACCGGCTCTTACTACCAATTTCATGGAACTCTTAATCAAATACAACCGCATGGCGAGCCGGTCAAACTTCCACACAATGCGACACAGAAACTACCGAACAGATTTTCGTGCAATTTGGATATGTTACCCCCAGTATCCTCAGCTACCCAGGGATGTGGTTTTTATATTGTTATATCATATAGAAAGTATATCTCTAAAAATGTTGAAAATTGTTAATGTTTCTGGCCAGCAGATAATTGAGTTTAGTATGTTGCTGAAACTCAATTATCTAGTCCGGCCCAGAGGAGGAACTTGTACTGTATAAATTGAATGCCTGTTGCTTCCAGTAAATAAGTCTTGTTCCAGCATTAAGCTTTGGCTCATGTGTGGATTATTTGGCGATACCAGCGATATTTGTTCCTGTGGATTCTAGGCGATACTCTGCTTATTGGGGAAAAAGGGAATACTGGACGGTGATACAGATTACTACCGTCACACATAGTAAAGAGGGAGCGGGGCAGGGGTGGGGGTAGACTATAAATGTGTTGTATAGAATTTAAAAAAGTTTAACAACCAAATTCTATCTCCCAAAATATTAATAACTGTGTTCATGAAATATTGGTCAGAAACATTAATTGACAATAGTACAAACTGCATGCACAGAAAATTACACTAGAGCCTGGTCTGACCATTTAATACACCCTGTGCAAGCCTGCTGACTAGGTGAAGGTGCCTGTGGGGTATAAAAAAACATATTGAGTCATGAGTAAGTTTGTGAGGTATAAGAGTAGAATATGTAGTACTTGAATGTGGGATAAAACATACGCCAGCAGTCAATAGGACGGCGGGATTGTAGTAAAAAACAATGGAAAAACTTAACTATATACACAGAACAACATATAATAATATCATTCACATAGTACAGGAGATAGTGTAGATTCCAAAAAGCAGGCTGTAGGTCCCTGAGATATCAGGGTTGCACTTTTCTGGGGGATGTAGTAGAGCTGTGGCTTATAACATAACAAGTAATATGTATTGATTACATAATAGAAGATCAATAGGCAATTATGTAAGATAAATTATAGTGTATTAAACTTTCACATGGTAAGATATCACTATTTGTTGAAAACAGGTTATTGAGTGTACAAGAATTCAGGGAGACCACAGTCTCAGGTGTGGGTTAAGGACACAAGAACACTCAGAATCTTGGGGGAGCTTATATGCCTTATTTAGTATTATTGTATTGCATGTTGTGAGGCATCTGCTTTCTCGAGGTGGACTGATGTCTATTTCTCTGATTATGCACAGATTGTTGTGGAGATGAAGGAGTTACATACCAATCCTGAGTTACAAACTTTTGTAGGTCGAAGGCTTTCAAGAAAATGGGCACATCCTCTGTAGTAGATTTGGTTTGTTGTGCATTGTTGTGGCTTACTACATCTATACCCAGGACATATTCGAAAACTAAAGAAATCTCAATGTATCCTTCCTGGTAAAATATTTTATAAATAAATAAATATCTGAGATTTTTTTAGTGGAGATCATATATAATATGTTTAAGAGATCTGCCATCCTGGAGGAGTGTGGTACAGGATAAATCCTAGAATATTTGAGCATGTCCACTTTGTCAGAGTCATAGTGAAGTGGCAGAAGATGTCTCGGTGGGATGGTTTGCAAGGGTTTTTTGGCTTTAAAGCCATGTGTATGCAATCAAAACATATAAGATTGTTTGCTGGTTTATGCCTGCCTGGATCAGAGCAGGTAAATTCCCCCCCTCTGCTTATTCTCGGATTTTGAGTTTGTTTTGCCTACCTCTGTTATTCAAATTTTCCAGTAGTCTATGGTGCAGTAGGAGCTGAGAGGACAGAGAAGCAATATGTGACTGAAGAGAGTTGAGTTGCACAGAGGTGAGTTCCTTGTCATTCTTCTTCCATGCCCATTTACTGGTCTTTCTTGCCTGTAATTGCTGTGATGGAGGAGCCTGCTATCATCCACCTTTTTTTTTTCTAACTTTTGTTAGGTCATCATTTACTTGACATCTTTAATATATGCAGGGTTCATTTTGACATGCACAAAATTTTTTTTACATTTGTATTATTTCTTAATAATATATTACTTTTAATAAAGAATACAAAAAGATTGAAGCCACTACCTTTTAAGGAAGAAAAAAAGCAGGCACTATGCAGGATACGATTGTCATATTCATCAATTTGGTTCACTCTTAGGGCAAGTAAGCCCACCATTCTTACAGCAGGATATAAAATGGCACTGAGCTGTGTGGCAGTGGGAAAAGGACATTATCAGTGTCTTTTGCCCCCAATTTTTTTGCATGTTTTTTTTTCAATAATCAAATTACCAAATTTAGCTTCATAACACTCCGGGGGAAGCATTGAGTATTTCATGAAATACTGAGGATGTCTGCAGTCTTAAAAGTATTAAGAGAAGGCAAAATACAAAGATCAATGAAAGCATTATAATATTATCTAGCATCAACATTATTTTACCTATTTCTGACAATTAAACAGATTCTCTACCAATCAGGAGAAAATTATTGTGAATTGTGTACATACACTGTACACAATTATTGTGGAGTCGGTGCATATACTGTAAACATGGTGAAAGGGAGGGTTGACGTAGAGGGCCTCATTGAATAGAAATAGCGATTAAAAAGACCATGCAAATGGATAGATTCTATAAATATGATGTATAAAGCATGATTGGAGGTCTTTGCTGCTCCGACCTACTGTCTCCACGAACTGTATCTCTCAAAATGTCTTGATGTGTTGACATTATTGCTGTTTTGTACTGACTAGTGATGTCGCGAACGGCGAACTTCCTCAAATGTTCATTTTTTTATTTTTTTTTAAATGTCAAGCTTAAGCTATTGTGACACCAGATATGAGTCGTGGCACTGGGCAAATGGGCACAGTATCCACTGTGAGCCTGACACACCCGCTTTAAGGACACTGACTGCTATTCAATCTATAACAGTGAAAAAAGTTTTTTGTTTTTTAATGCAAGCTATTGTGACACCAGTGAGTGAGTGGTGGCACTGGGCACAGTATCCACTGTGAGCCTGACACAGACGCTGGCAGACAACTAACTGCTATTCAATCTATAACAGTGAAAACTGTTTTTTGGTTTTTAAATGCACGCTATTGTGACACCAGTGAGTAAGTGGTGGCACTGGGCACAGTATCCACTGTGAGCCTGACACAGACGCTGGCAGACAACTAACTGCTATTCAATCTATAACAGTGAAAAAAGTTTTTTGTTTTTAA